AAATACAGCCATGAGATAGGTAAGCCCCCTACCTCATGGTATTTATAATTTGACAGAACTATCAACTGTGATCCCTACCTCATGGTATTTATAATTTGACAGAACTATCAACTGTGATTATTTCATTTCCTTCCACTTTCCTGGGAAGTTTTCCAATTCTAGTTTGTATTTCTTTTAAAGTTAAAAAAAGAATTAGGAAAAATCTTGGCATTCTCAATCTTCAGTAACTCAATCTACCTTCAGTTATAACTAAATTATGTCCCCTTAAAAATGTTCATTGCTAGCCAAATATTTTTAGCCTATCATGTTTCCTTATGGTTTGACTTTAGTCATTTATTCCTCATTTCTTTCCTTATACCTCATGACAATATTTTTTTTTCTTCTACTGCCTCGTTGCCCTTTCTCTGCCTCTGTCTTCCTTGTGTTCATCTTCCTCTTTCCCTGGAAATTAACTAGTGGAAAACCTTCAAGTCTCAGTCCTAGGCCCTAGGAGATCTCATCCATTTCTGTGTCTTCAATCACTTACTCCCAAACAATGACTCATAAAATTAAATCTAACTCAGATCTCTCCTTTGAGTCCCAGATCTAAATCTCCAACTGCCTACTCCAACATCTCCACTGTGATATCTCAAAATCACCTCCAAATTATCATATCCAAATTTAATTTATAAATTTCTCTTGCAAACCAGTGATGCAAAACAGTGTCTACTGTCCCCTATCTCACTGAATGGCCCGTCACGCATCCAGCCACTCAATCCAGAAACCCTGGGTTCATTCCTGACCACTCCTCTACCTCAGTCCACAAATCCAGAACCCTATGTCCTCCCTGATACATTCCCGTACGTTCCAAACAACTCTAGGTCCGTCTTCTACTTCCCATCTCTACTACTACCACTGCTACCTTGTCCAAGTTGACCCTCTCTCCAGTGGATTACTGAAACAGCCTATCTGGTTCTTCATATCTATTCTTATTCCCACATCCTCAATCATCCTTCCCATTGCAGCAAATGTGATCTCTGTAAAATTTAAATCTTACCAAGTCATTATTAATAAGTACTGTCGAAAACCCTTCAATGGCTTCCTACTGCTCTTAGGATAGAAACCAAAATCCCATAAATGGTCTAGGAGGCCCTACATGGTCTGGCCTCAACTTAAATCTCTAGCCTCATCTTGTTCCACACACCTCCTCACTCTACACTTAAACTACAATGACCTTCTTTCATTCTCTAGAACATTCCACACTCCCTTCCACCACAGGACTTTTGTGGTGCTCTTTCAATCTTCTGGAATATTCTTTTTTTCCATTGTGATGGACAGAATAACAGTCTCCCAAAGATGTCCATGCCATAATTCCTGGAGCCTGTGAATATATTACCTTACATGGCAAAACAGACTTTGCAGATGTGATGAAAGTTCTTGAGATGGGGTAATTATTCTGGATTACCTGGTGGGCCTGATATAAACACAGGGGTCTTTATGAAAGGAAGGAGGGAGGGTCACAGCAAAAGAAGGAGAGGGAACAACAGAATCAAGAGGCTCATGGTCAGAGAGATTTGAAGATACTGTACTTTGAAGATGAAGGAAAAGGCCACAAAGTAACGTGGAAAAGGCAAAAATAAAATAAAATAAAATAAAATAAAAAGGATCCTCCCCTAGAGATTCCAGAAGGAACACACCCCTCTTGACAATCTGGTTCTAGGACCTCTGCCTTCCCAAACTGTAAGATGAAAAATCTGTGTTGTGGTTTAAACACAGCGATTTTTGTGTCAATTTGTTACAGCAGCAATAGGACACTAACACACCCATCTTCACCAGTAAATGACAGATTCTATCAGCCTCAGGCCAAACGTAATTTCTCAGAGTTCCTTAAACTCCCTAATTAGGCCAAAAGTCCTTCTTACACATTCTCAAAGCATCCTTTACACTGGTAATTACAGTTGTAATTATACAGTTGTTTGTACAATTGACTACGTGACTAATTCGTGTCTTCTTTACCGGGCTGAAGCTCCACAAGACTCGGAACCACATCTAATTTTGTGTACCAAAGTATCTGGCAAGGTGCCTGGCCCATAGCAATTGCTCGTGGACTTTTATTGCAGCAAATACTCCAAGAATTATCTGTTATCCTCCACCAAGCAGTAGTGCCATTTCGCTAGATAACCCAGTAAAAGTCTTTTCTCAGCTCTCTTGCTCTGCCCTAAATGGGCCCTTCAACCTGAAAACCTGAATGTTTCTTCAACTCAAAGAAATTTACTCCTATAAGCTGGTAATTTCCTCTTTTCACTCTCTTTGTTCACTCCTTCTGAAATTACTACCAGATGACCATTAAAACTTCTGTCTACTTCCATTCTTTATGCGTTTATTGCT